TCTAATTGAAGTGTCTGAAGACGTTCGGATGAAGTCTTCTTCAATTCAGCTGCAGCATCTTGTTTCAGACAGGCAGCAATAACCTGAAATCCCAAACGATCTAATCTTTTCGCTAAAAGATTTCCAAATCCTGTATCACACCCGGTTACTAAGACGTACTTTTCAGCATAATTCTTGACCTTTAACCTCCCCAAGAACCATTTTAAGGTGAAGCATCCTATTAGTACTGTAACCCACAACAGCATGTTGCTTTCTCTTTAATCTATAAACACAAATATGGTCTATTATATGGCACTGGGAGGAAGAGGTGTTTTCGTGTGTGTGGGTGTGTGCGTGTGTGTGTGGGGTCTAGGGAATTTGGGGCCGTGGGGGTAGATGTGCGTGTAGTAGGCAAGGTCTGACCAAGCAGCATAAGCAAACATGAATAAAGCTAACGTTAGACTCTATAGGGGCCCACACTATCCCACTCACGAAGGTAGGCCCGAGAACAATGGCCACTATATCCACTCGACGGCGGTAGATTGGCGGGGTAAAAATACTGTATAGGCATAATGGCGATCTTGGGACATACAGAATAAATGAATAAGATTATTCCCGGACAGCTGCACTATGATCTACTCTTATATCTAATTCTAACTGTCAAGGGATCTTGTCCGTGCACACCAATGTGTACACGGGACCTCGGTTTTTTGTCCGATCAAAACGACTAGACACTGTCCTTGCGAAGCAATCCGTCATGGGAAACCCGCGGCAGAAAATCCAGAGGAACTTTCTTGATGAATCCTGAGACAGATGGACTCGGATGACACGATGCTGTTATGTTTGGTTTCGATTCCCCGATTGTAAGTGATAAAGAGTAAAGACCCCTACGCTAATTATTGAAATAAATTGCATCGTGTCAGTCCCGAAATGACCTAGTTTGTGTCGAGTTGACGTTAAACCCCATTCCCAATTCTTTCTTTTACAGTCATGTTGAAGACGTTAAACAAATCAACACAGTATAGATTGCAGCGAACTCGAATAATGTTATGGTGATAAAACACACAAGATTAGAACAGGTGAGCTTAGTAACCTCTGTTATCAGGTGTTATCTATAGGGTAAGCATCTAGTGTCTTGTACGTGACACATGTCACGGCAATTAAACACGTACATCAAACCATCATTAGACTCTGTGGGTCATATTCCAGAAATGTGAGCAGCAAGTGTCTGGAGTGGAGACAATGTCAAGTTTGGCGTGAGGTCTGGGGGATTACCCTAGAATTTGATCAAACCAGAAGCTCTGAGACAATATCTCTGCTCAATTAGGCCCATACATGTACAGGAGTGAGTGAAGTGAGACCAAAATGGCGGCAATGCTTGGCATGTTTGTTTATTCGTTGAATGTAGGAGAAATAACATTCCCTACCCACATGACACATGCCTGATGTAGAGTGCCCATTATTATAAAATTTATATATATTTCTATAGACTAGGATATCCATGGTTTATTATATTAGACTAGTGTATCCAGTGCTTATTATTATAGACTAGTATCCCCAGTGTATATTGCTATAAACTAGTCTATCCAGTATGTTTAATTATAGGCTAGTATACTGTAAGTGATGACCTATATAAGAACAGCTGAACTTTTGTAGATCAAGTACCGTCTTCATTAGCCCAGCATAGGAGCAGAACAGTAGGACGTTAAACCCCATTTCATTTCATTTCTTGTAGATCAAGTAAATACAAACAGCTTAACAGTATTTATAGCCTACCTGTAACGCAGCACACGTCACACTTCTTACATAAAATATATGTAATAACGGAGTGATTCTCTGCACCCAATATAAACACACCAACAAACAGTTTAATCAGCAGTCTTGATATACGATAACAAACAAGTTACTGCTGTGTGACCTTCCCCTGTGTGAACTTCGAACTTTTATCATGTCTAGTCAATAGTCCCAAATCGTCACATTCATCTTAAACGATCCATTAGCAAGAAATTCCATAAATTACCAATGTGCCGGGTCTGGACTCTCAGAAACTTGTAGACCATTACATGTTTTTGAGTGAAAACACCCTCGTGCCAATAGCATGAATTCTGTAGCGGGTCTAAAAGCTGTGAATGGGGGGGGGGGGTGGTTCAAATCCATGGTGCCATTCACAGTCCTACCCCATAATGAATGTCAAAAAATAATGTCTGTAACACTGATCGCCCCCGTAGAATATAAGATAAGATAACATAACATCCAAATTGATAAATTACCAATGTGCCGGGTCTGGACTCTCAGAAACTTGTAGACCATTACATGTTTTTGAGTGAAAACACCCTCGTGCCAATAGCATGAATTCTGTAGCGGGTCTAAAAGCTGTGAATGGGGGGGGGGGGTTCAAATCCATGGTGCCATTCACAGTCCTACCCCATAATGAATGTCAAAAAATAATGTCTGTAACACTGATCGCCCCCGTAGAATATAAGATAAGATAACATAACATCCAAATTGATAAAGCGCAATAAATACTCGTATTAGGAGTTCCAAATGCGCTTGCAAAGTTATACATTTTGGTTTCATTTCAACCCTAGTGTTGTATGAACAGGTGAGTTTTCAGTCTTGTTTTGAAAATGCAGACGGACGGACATTGATTCTCTTATATGAAGGGGTAGTGAATTCCGCAAATGAGCTGAAGAGTACTGGAATGAACGTTCGATCATTTCTAAACTCGTCGATTGTACAATTAAGAGATGTTTTGAAGAAGATCGTAGACATTTTCCTTGAATATATGTGAAGATGAAATTTTTGATGTAGGATGGAACAGAGTTGTTTATAGCTTTGTAGGTCAACACGAGTATTTTAAATAGTATTCTTTGATGTACAGGAAGCCAGTGAAGGGCTTTCAGTATTTTGGTGATATAAGCAATTTTCCAGTAAGTAGACGTGCAGTCTACGTTGAATTTATGATTTGAGAAGCCCATGCAGTAGAGCGTTAAGATAATCCAATTTAGTTGTTATTAAAGCATGAGTCAAAAGTTCGAGATATTCAGAGCTTAAATAAGTTTTAATCTTTCCTAGTTTTTAAAGTTGATAAGGGTTTAGCCGTAGAAAATGAAGGGCCATCCAGTTATGGATTTCTTGCAGACATGTCTCCACTTCTGCGACTGTGTGCGATTGGGATTCTTCTTCGAAGCTAATGTAAAGCTGTGCGTTTGGAGAAGATGATAAATAACACCGGGGCCAAAAATGATCACTGTGGGAAACCACAAAGCAGGGGAATTTCTTGAAGTATTCATCTCCTATGCAAACTCGCCGTTTTATAGGATTCTTCACTTAGTAATGTATTAATGCACACAAAATTCATGTAGATCAGATGATAACTTTTGTCATTTGAGTGTTCACAAGGTACAACTACTGTAGAGCCAACTAGTCTCGTGTAAAAGACCATATCAGCCATTCCAGGCTAACAGAATATCAAACCAAATATTAAAATCACAAAAGTACCTTGTTTTTAAAGCACCATTTGTATCCTAATATCACCCCTTTAAATTATGCAATGGATTATCCCTTGAACATTATATTATAATCTGGGTCAATTTTGACGAGATAAGACCAAAACAGTCACCTTTGACTCAGGAAAAGAAATTTGTCGATGAGTGATGCCGATCACCAATTTATCTGCAGGATCTGAAAACCACCTCATTTTGATGACCACTCAAGTCACAAAAGTGAGTATATTTGTTTTATAGCACCCCTTTAAAATAACTTTATTATTTGACAAATATGCACGACGAGTAAGCGTAAGAAACTGAATATCTTAATGTATTTTTGTAAAGCTAGGCCCTTTTCCAGTGCTTAAAGTCGTGTCACGCGAGTCACAGTTCACGCTAATTGTTCTACTATATCTTCCTTTTTAATGTGACAAGGGGTAGGGTCGCCTGTCCAACCTCGTGGGTTTTCTCCGGGGCCTCCGGTCCCCCCTTCCTTCCCACTACTAAAGCGAATTATTAAAAAAAACTGACCCATATGTTAGCCCTGAAATGACCTAGTTCGTGTTGAGTGGACTTTAACCTCTCTCTCCTTTCTTTTTAACAATGTTTTCGTTTGTATATTGTCGAAGGCATGAAATTTTTGAATATAATTGACATTTAATGAAATAGTTTTGAACATGCTGATCTTGTATGAAATGTGTTCGGAGAGACGTATGGGTCTGTGTGAGACAATGAATTTTTATTGAAATTTTCTTTTGAGCAAATTAATTCTTGTTTGTTTTGACGATGAAATACAGCAAAACAATTAGTTGATTAAATTGAAACATCCGTGTTATTTCTATTTGTCGCACAAGTCACCTTTTCATGTCACGCAAGTCACAAACAAAATCTCAGTGTATCACATTGTAACATAATGATGCCACAGCTGAACAATTTAGCTTTATGTACATACATGTATAAGTCATATTCCAATATTCTAATTACTTTTCTACCAAATGGGGGATTAGTATCATTACCCATCAACGCACTGCAAATGCATGTCACGCGAGGCACAACCCCTTATGATCAGACCAAGAAGAAATATTTCTAGCGTTTCTCATTTAACAAAACACAAAAACTTTATTTGGGAGTAGGTTTATTGGAAACTTGATTATTTGGTTTTAAGATATCAAATTTATATATTTGTGTTTTGTAGAAATGTCACATGGTGAATGGGAGATTTGACAGTGGATCGGTAATGCCAACAGATATTAGTTTCTGACTATACAAGAGAGAGAGAGAGAGAGAGGGATGGGGTTTAACATCCACTCAACACAAACCAGGTCATTTTAAATTGATAATAATGAAGAAAGATCGCGTTTCATAATGTTTTATTGGTATGTCGAGTATCTTGTCTCTGAAGAAGACAGAGATTTGTATTAGGTGAGCTGAGATTTGATCTACAATTTGATCTACAAAGATATGAATATTGAGTTGACTCCATGTACACTTAACCTAAATAAATTCCATTTTTTGGTAAACAATTTTTTATTGAAAGAATGAACAGGATTGAGGAATGTTCATAGTCTATATGACTCCTCTCCTTGTACAATTACATACAATTGATTAGATCATACTGGACCACAAGGAATGGTCACCACTTCCGGTTACTATGTAGTCAAGGTTACCATAAAGATGACATTGTTGTAATTTAAATGTAAAATAATAACATTGTATGTTAGCATTACATAGCATAGCACATTGTGTTGTTATCATAACATCATGTTCTTGTAGAGGTACAGCTGGGATGTTGACGGTTGTGGAAATCAGTGTGGCCAAAGGCTGCTGGGAACTCACTGAAACTATAAACTATTAAACTAATCCAAAACAATGTGTCTAATCGTGATTACTACAATCGACGTAAAATTTCAGAAATAAAACTTTTAAATGTTTATTTTATTTTCCGTTCAATCAATGCAGCGACGAACATAAAGTTCAAACCGTGAGTCGTACGTTTAGACCCTGAAATCGGAATTTCTCACCGTATAGGAACAAACACCACCGACCGTATAGTAACGACCAAAAGTTGAGAAGGGGGTGGGATTCGAAGCGACTAGAAGTTATATAGGGGAAAGCCGATTCGCAGAACGAGAATTTGGCTAAAATATAAACACGATGGCGGAAGTAAAGGTTTAAATGGAATTGAAATAAGTGGGGACGTTGGGGGGAATTTAGCAAGACATTTTAAAAAGAAAACTGGCTAAAGAAAGCTTAATGGTGATGACAATTGACAAAAACGAAACAAAGTGGCCGGGGTTGATGATAAAGAAGTAACATACTTGATACATTATGTTCACAGATATATGGTCTGGGTACATCATTTCCACAATGGAAGCCATCATGTTGAATGTTGATGTTTAGAGGACAATTGGCTATATCCTTCCAAGCATAGTATTCGACATCTACGCCATCTAACCACTGATAGTTACCAGCTGGAGTTTTCTCTATCCCAAGAAATACATCTCTAGTGCTGAAACATAATGATTTATCATCCGAGAAAATATAATAAATAGTTCGGGTCGCTCCTAAAAGACAACTGAAAATTCATAAAGCAAGCACTTGTTCGGGTCACCCAAAAAAACTTAACGTTTAATTTATGTACAATGTGCTTAACTATAATAATGATTAATAATTCTTTTGGAGATGTCGAGAAATTCATGAACCTTTTAAAAAACTTCGTTTTAGTCTGTTATAATGAAATATAGAAATAGGGTGTGATGAAGTAGAAACTGGGGACAAGAAATCAACTTACACGGGGTGATATAAGATGAAGTGTTTTAGCGCCAACTTATCGTCGGCGGTGGGAACTATAGGTATGCGATAACCTCTATCTAAACACGTTTGCTTGACCTCTTCAAATGTTCCTTTAATGGTACTAAGAAATACAATAAATCTTGGATCTGAAATATTAAAACACAAATATATAACGTATTACTACAATTTTATGTATATTCAATTATATATTCAAATATATAAATGCCATGGTTTTAAATTTTATTATGCAGTCGCAGGAAACTGAAAAATAATTTTAAAAACCGCATGAATCAGATTTTCCATGTGAAAGCTGCGTTTCGAATTGGGGCCCACGGTGGCTCAGTGGGTAGGACACTGACTGACAAGTCAAAAGCTATTGGGTTCGATCCCGGTGTAGACAGCAAACATTCCTCGGGAATTAACAGTCTGGTTTCCCCTTGTCATTCATGCAGATCGAAAGGATTGGCCTGGAACAACGCCTAGTTGTTCGAATGAGACGAAAAATCGAAGTCCCATTTGAATTCGATGGATGTCCGTCTTAATTATTTCTGTCCTGGTGGTTTAACGTACTCTTCCACAATAATGACAGGCTTGTGCAGAAAACTGGGACGTTAACCCACATTTCATTACATAAGTATGTTCGGGAATACATTAAATCCTATACACGTTACGTTAAAACTTTAAAGGGTGAAAATGCTGAGTGAATAAACAACAAAGCATTAAATTAGGAAGCCTACAATCTCCAGAGTGGCCACTCTGATCCCCCGTCTAGATGAATCATAGGCCAAAGTAATGTGTTGCAGAGAAAGGGCTCGCATGCCAAATCCCCACTCAAAAACCAGGATTCCACTCTCCACCGACACGGGTCGCAACGCACAGTAAACACGTTGCCCCATTACAGGACATACGAAGGGTAAATTATTATCACCCCTTACACACCACGGGGAGTCAAAACCATAGACGTAGCCAAAAACTGCACATACACACCAATCAAATACGCACGTGGAAACATCGCTACCACTTCACATAGAGGAAAAAGCCAACCGTTCTGTCCCACGAAATCAATATGCTAAAAAATCCAAGCGGATCGTAAAAATCTCCCCTAGAGGGAAGCATCAACTGTCTGGCATTTGATTAACCAATTAAAATACACAGAAGGACGGTGCGTAAAAATGATTTTATTAAGTATATATGTATAAAAATGATTATAAGACCAACGTTTTACACGGTCAAATTATTATCATTGTTAAATTTCCCACTAGCACCCATTCTGCCATCCCCCCCCCCCCCCGGAAGCCTTATTAGACGAAACAAAACAAAATATCCATTGTAAGCACATATTTACTCTTTATTCTGTAGTTTCAGGTTCTGAATTCTTCCTCCAGAGAACCAATAACAAAGGAACGAATAACAAAAACAAAGTCAGAAATAACAATCAAACTGAAGGAGAAGGCCTAACGAATGGAAGGAAGAATATACGTCCTGTTTCGTATGTTTAATGTATATCGCCCTTCCCTGATTGTTTCATTTGTTTTACTGTGTACATATATACTCTTCAAAAAGGTAGGGGATATTGAAATGCAAATACCTATGCAGGTTGTGATATGATAAATAGTCATGGACACTTGACATGCTTTGAGAGTATGTTCACAGATAAAGAACTTATCGCCCCAACAGAACCACTGGGCTGTTCGTGCAACACGCAATAGCGCCATACACGTCGGAGGGGTTCATTGTCAAATTTGACACTTTAAGGAAGGGTTGATGAAAACTGCCGCGTGCTGGTTAATCTATCCATGTTTGCATTCCTATTGGTTCTTGCATAAGATTTACTGTTTAGCGTATCTTTGCTTTAGTGTCTTACGTTTAATTTGATCGGGTCAGATTGCCCCAAATCGTAATTGGACGGTTGATTAGGAGCATGCCACGACGAATTGCTGAATGTCTGAGGATTGGAGGAGCAATTACTCATTATTAAGACAAAAATCAAAAACGTCCATTTTCACTTTTGAGGGTGTATCTCTTTGCGAGTGAAATGGGGCCGTCAGATAAGCCGCCCATATGAACTGTTTATATTCATGTGTAGGCAATTGGCCTGTTATTAACATACACTGGTTACCTCTAATAAAAACAGCAGTGCATTTCCGCAGTTTTGTATTGTTTCTGAATATCCCCTACTTTTCTTGAAGAGTATATATAAATATTTTTTCATTAATCTGTTAATTTTTTTTACGCTAATCACTTTGTAAATAAATTATCTTTATATATATAAAAACAGTTGTCGGCGATATCACTTCAGTGGAAGCGGACGTTAAATAAAGCTATTTCACACACACCACTATACACCCACATGTCAATGTCTTCACCATTGTCGCCTGCTTAGTTTATAGTACCCCATCTTTCTTAGAAAGCACGTGACTGTTAAAATGAGTTCGTCCATCTGCACAAATTAAGATTGAATATTGCATAAAGTTAATCACTTACCATGGCCAACTTTTTCACAAAGATATTGACGAGCTACACCACATCCTCCCGTCAACCACTTGGCATTTTCATTTCTGAAAACTACACAATCACCGTTGCCTGCTTGATTGTTATTCCAGTCTCCCCTTACCAATAACTCACCGTTTAACCATTGATATCGGCTTATGGTAGAATTATATTCTAATCCAAACCACAAGCCTTCCTGGTCGCTAGAAATAAACGAGAAAAATGTCTTCTCGTGCCTTAAAGATGCATTATGTAAAAATCTAAATTAAAAATGTCTATTGCAGGTTTTTTTCTGAATTCAAATATTATGTTGATTATTATTATTTAGACATTTATTTATATACATGACAAACCTATAATCAACTCTCTAGAACATCGGATGACTCATATATATAATGGATTAGAACACCCGCGTTACATAACAACATAACGTTAAACTGGATAATCAAGATTTTGCTTATTATTGTCGCATTTATGTTCGCAATGTTCAAGTAATGATACGTGATTTGCATTTTTCGAAAACTGTAAAATCTCTCACATTGCATTAAAAGAGCTAACCCTCTAATTGAATAATTTCGAAATTACAAACACGAATTATTGGTCCATTTCAATCAATATTGTTGTTTTTATCTTGCCGTGAAAATATATTGGATCCTAATATCCAATATATAAGAGACAATGAACATTTTATAATCAGTACACGAGTCGTGTATTCTATGCCATTTGAAATGAACTAAAAAAAACAAATCCTAAAAGACAATGCTGAATTAATTAATATTGGCTGATTCACAAATGGCAAAATAATAATTAAGAAACCTCGTAGAGTGGACTTAGTGGGCTTAAACGATTGTTGTTTAATATGGACTGTTCACGTATTTCACCAAACATAATTGATTGGAAATTAAGAAAAAATTATTATAAATTGAACCTCAATCACTTTATATACATTCATATTACATTAATATGTAATTTCCGTCTGTTTTAATGTGTCAAAGGATAGAGCATTACGCCCTTTAAGAGAATTAACGCTAGATAATGTCCAGGCTTGGATTCAATCGGATCTATAACAGGCCCATGAATGTGGTTCACGGCAATTCCCCCCACCTCCTCCAAATAAAACCAACAAAAAAAACCACGACGGCTTGCTTATTACATAGCGAGGAGCATAGATCGATGGTATTTTGAAATCGTCATACATATATTCGTAAATACTGAAGATTCAACCTAGATTGATGGTATTTTCAAATCGTAATATATATCTTCGAAAATACTGGACGGAATTGGAGATTCAAATTCCACAATATTGTAGTTTGCAAGGGATTCTATAATCACGCATAGAGTCTTGAAGTGACATAAACTAAACGGTAAACCCCGGGGTTAAAGAATAATCATAAAACAAGCATAGCCTGCCTAGAAATAAAATGGGGTCTAACGTCCTACTTTTCTGCTCCGAACTGGGATAATGAAGACGGGCCTCTGCCTAGAGCGCGATATGCATTATAATTAATATCTAAAGAGCAATATTTTACTTACACTGAAATCGTATCAATGAAATTCAACAGAGTCAGATATGTATCTTTAGTCTTTGCCATGGCTAGTTGCATACCAAGTGTTTTACACTTCAACACAGCAGCATCAAAACTTATTTTTTCATCGAAATAAACATACGTACAAACTGAAAATACATATTTTAGATTTCTATATGTTTTTGTTTTGTCTTTGTGAATTCATATGGTATAAAACTTGCCAGAATATGTTTGTCACTTAATGTCTCAGTGGTGCCTACATTGGTGATACTAATTGTATATATTATCTAACGAAATATACCAACTTCGCAATACCTTATCACTTCGGATGCCTTTCATTTCCCATTAATTTCAGGTTCTAGACTTTTGACTGCACTATTCACAACTCGAAGTTAGCATACCTACCCTTCCGTAGTATGAACATCAGATCACCGTATCTGTATATTAACTCATTTGATATATATCCAATATAATCGTTTGATTAATTATTTGAGATTTAACATATCTTTCTTTCTAACTTATGCCAATTATAATTTTGAAACACAAGGTATTCATATTTATGTAAATGATTTCTTACGGAAGATGGATTGATAAAAGCCCCGGCTTGTTTTCAGGTCCCATAATTCTATATTTGTATGTTTCTAATATGTAAATATGTATTGAATAAATAGAGGTAGAAAAATAGGTTTTACAGATAACCAAATTTAAATTTAATATACTATTGTTGAAATATACTGTTATTGAAAAGTTAAAGTTAATAAACTTACCACATAGACTTGTAGTACTGATAGCTAACAATAATAACCTTTTGATCATCATCGTGGGCTTACTGTTCAGAGTATGTTTCTTTCTGGACAAAGCAAAATTAAAGGAGTCCTTTTTATCCCTAAAAATATAACCAATATCCGAATAATTATCAGTAATTGTATTAAAATCGTTCAACCAGCAAGAAAATAAATCCGTGTGACGACCCAAGGGCTTCTATTTATACCAAATAAATCACAACTTTCTTATTAAATGGATCGATTTGTAAGTGACTGCGGTTTGATTGGTCAATAAGATAAGGTAATCTAAGATTTTATTGTTGAATATGTCTATTTAAAGAACCATCCATATTCTTGAAAAATTGAAAAAGTACAAAATAGAAAAAATACAAAATTAAAAAAAACATTAGACAAGATATGGTAGCAATCTGGAATCTTGAAAAACAAGCGGTTGCCATGCACATATTGCAAGAGATGGACAGAAAAGCTAAAAAAAAAAGCATACAACAAGCTGCCATAATCCAGGATGTACTTTCCAAGAGGTGTCAATATCAAACGGAACAGAGATCTTTGGGATATATGCATACATTTTAAATCCCAACAAGATCGGATAAAAATTGTGACATCTAAAGTGTCCACAAGCAAATGAAGCGATTTTTCGTACAATCAGGCGCCATAATCCGCGAGGTTACCATCTGATACATGCCAATATTAAAAGGAACCAAGATCTTTAGGATATAAACCTATATTTCAAGTTTAGTCAAAATCGAATAAAAATTGTGACCTCTAGAGCGTCCACAAACTTGGTATTATATGCTTTTACACTATTTGCTTAAGGGGAGCGGCTATTTAGACGGGAAGTTTCGATCCGATTTTCAAGAAATTCAAACTCAACCGTTACCATCTGATACATGCCAATATTAAAAGGAACCAAGATCTTTAGGATATAAACCTATATTTCAAGTTTAGTCAAAATCGAATAAAAATTGTGACCTCTAGATCGTCCACAAACTTGGTATTATATGCCTTTACACTATTTGCTTAAGGGGAGCGGCTATTTAGACGGGAAGTTTCGGTCCGATTTTCAAGAAATTCAAACTCAACCGTTACCATCTGATACATGCCAATATTAAAAGGAACCAAGATCTTTAGGATATAAACCTATATTTCAAGTTTAGTCAAAATCGAATAAAATTGTGACCTCTAGAGCGTCCACAAACTTGGTATTATATGCCTTTACACTATTTGCTTAAGGGGAGCGGCTATTTAGACGGGAAGTTTCGGTCCGATTTTCAAGAAATTCAAACTCAACCGTCATCATATATATAACGTATATATATTTAAACCAATTTTAAAATCGCATAATAACTATGACCCCTAGAGGGTCCACAAGTTAAAAACTGGAATTTTCTTTCCGTTTAACGTGGATTTGGAAAGGATCCATTTATTTTCGGTCCGTTTTACGTGGATATCGAAAGGATCCAATTATGATCTTTGGGATATAAAGATATATTTTAAAAATAGGATAAAAACTGTGACATCTAGAGGGTCCACAACCTTGGTATGACATACTTTTACACTATTTGCGTACCGATAGCGGTCATTTTGTCGGGAAGTTTCGGTCCGATATTCACGAAATTCGAACTCGGCCACCTTTATGGTGTATCGGTGAAATTCTTCAAAATCGGATCAAAATTGTGACCTCTAGAGTGATGTTTCGAAATGAAATGAAATGAAATGGGGTTTAACGTCCTACTCTTTTGCTCCGAACTGGGCTAATGAAGACGGATGTGATGTTTTGAACAATCAGGGGTCATAATCCATGAAGTTACACTACAGTGTGATTCTAGGGTAGCAGTTTTTAAGCAACTTTTATAGCAATTTCATAGATACATGAACTTGTTAGCGTCTATAAAATGCGGATCAATTCATTGCTTATGTTGGGCACCCTAGGGCAGACTGCTATCTTCGCTGCCGCACAGATTGTACTCTTCGCGCGCCGATTGTAATCTAAGCGTATCAAACTGATGCTCAGATTGCCAACTTTACGCTGATTACTCCTCGATGTTTTTAAAGAATTATGAAAGTAGTGTGTCAGACGTCCCATGTAGGATCTGTCCTTTATCGACTTTGTACTGTAATGATTGTTAAAATAATTTTCATCACTGCATAATTAGCGTGTGTGCTAAGAATAAGCTTTAAATTCGAGTCAGCAGTATCTCATAATAATTTCGCTATCTTTATACGTCAACTCATCACGTGACTGAATGTCCAAAATTATTTGTTTTAATTACCGTAAACTTCAGTGTTTTGTTTGTATAGTTTAAATTAGTACATTTATCACAAACAATTGACTGATATTTGAAATTTTTATCAAAGTGCAATGTAGCCAACGTGTTCGTGAATTCTGGTTAAGTGGACATAAATCTTCAGATACGTGTATGCCTATGTGTGGGTCGCAAACATTTGAACAGTTCCTACTAAAATATATTATAGTAAGCAATTCCACATAAATAGGCGGATTATCATTTGTTGTTGTTCTTAGTGTTTAACGTCCGTTTCCACCAAATGTGATATCGCAGAGGAGTCTTGTTTTTCATTTTTATTATCTTAGCGCACGCGCAGGTGCCTTTCCGGTGGGTGGAAGACGCCCCTATCTCCAAGTCACATACGCTCACACCAGGGATTGAAACCACAAGCCATAGATAACCGGCTAGCTAGAGATCGAAGCTCGGCACTCAGCCCCCCCCCCCCCCAGCGGAGCATCATCTCGATAATCCATTAAATACCCTGGGCAGACTTAACTCCACACGCGCAGATTTGTCAACGGATATTAGACAGATTAGCGTATGCGCGGGAGTAATCGGCCCGTGATGTGAAATCTGCGCTCAACACTTACACTCTGTCCATAATACCATACTGTATTGGACGTTAAATTTGTAGACAGAGAGAAAAATGGGGTTTAACGTCCACTCAACACAAACTAGGTCATTTCGGAACAAACATGGTTCAATTTTATTTCAATAATTCGTTTACGCATAGGGGTCTTTAGCAGTGGGGGGCGGGAAACGGAGGAGAAAACCGACGAGGCTGGACAGGCGACCCTATTCCTTGTCACGTACAACCAGGGAATCGAAACCACGCCAGTTGACTCGATGATAGACCTTATTACACAGCGCGCATGCGCTAACCATTCTGCCCCCCCCCCCCGTTAAATTTGTAATAACCACAGCAATAACATCATTGCTTACACCCAGGAATTGGTTATTAACAAGGTTTCCCGAACCAATTTGAAAGAAGTCTCGGCAACTTTGATCTTCAGTGGGCTACAAGAATAGATGGACTGGTTAACTGTGAAATTAGATATGCTTTTAATATATAAAATCCAAAAACAATGATGGACATCGCGGCTAATACAGTAATTGTAGTTGCTTACACACTGATAAGAATAAACCACGCGTATCAAGGAAATCCCAACAGATATTTCCATATTAAAAGACAAGTTATTAAATTAATCAAACAAAGCGTTCTGAGAACCTAGTCGAGTGTAAGTAATACCCGTTGAATTCCGATTATTGGGGCGCATTGTTCCTACTTGTCTCTATTCGGCTTTTCTGTGGATTAAAAACACCGGATATATTTGACGATAATAGAATGGAATTATTAAAAAATGGCTGAATTAAGAAAAGATGAAGAGGAGTATTCTAAATATTTAGAAGCTGACAGAAAAAGAAAGAAAAAAAAAGTCTCAGGGTAGGCCTAATATCAGTACGGGTATTCAATCAATCACAGGAGCTGATTCTTTTGTGATAAATCAACACCTGGACAATCTTTAACAGCACCAGAATGTACACCAGGACCCGCCTCTTTGCCTGTGCAACATGAACCATCAAAGAAAATCTAGCACTCAATCACTTACGACAACAGACCTACCATATAGTAGCAAACAACTGTTTGGTAAAGAGTCCAGATATTCCTTACACATGTCCAGAGAGAAAATATTAACTTTACTGTGATAAGGATGAAGACGGAAACAAGATCTACAAAACAAAAACATCATTTACTTCGGACAATTAAAGATCTCCTACTTTTAATAAATGAACATTTAGATTCTATCGATTATGAATCCGATACATTATCATTTGGAATTTTATGGAACATAATATGTGATCTCAAGCATGTCAGATATGTGAAGGAAATATCTGAGGATACATGTACATGTGATATGTGAAAACTTAACTTTGTTACTCAATGGAATTCGAGCAGCTGTAAAAGATGATAATACGTTTAAGGAATTGGAAGGACCAGTACACGTAATAAAGACTCTAGTGCACAATCACCTAAATGTATTCATGATGAATGTGTCATGACCACGATTCCAGAAATAAATATTTTAAGGGTTCCGGACAGGGCCGTAACTAGCTCAGAGCAACGAGGCCCGGGGGGGGGGGGTGTTCTCAGGTGTGCTGGTGCTGTAAAATTGATGGACAATCAGGGGCGCCGGAACACGGCTGCCAAGGTATACAAATGGCACCCTGCCGTTTTTTTGTGGTATACATGAATACCCATGCCCTAATGATGTATTTTAAAGGGTTTTATGTTGGAATTTGGAATGCTAGAGGCGCTCTAAACAGCGTTTTCGGAATTGACAAATTTCAAAATTTTGGTACCCTGGCCCTCGCGCTGTTCCGGCGCCCCTGCGGACAATGTATATTTTTCAGGGGGGGGGGGGGTCTTACGGTCCCGTGAAGAAAAGTCATCTTGCATCCGGAACAGATGCTATTTGTGAATTAGAGAGACAGATACGAAAGTATAAAGGACATTACTATAATTTTACAAGTCATGACAAGTCATGGTTAAGAGTTGGTGATACATTAAATTGCGATAGATTTGTTATGGTCATTGACAAGCTTGATCAATCATAACTCTTAGTTATCTCTGCAAATTCAATTCTGTTAATTACCCGAAGAACATTTTTTCAAATTTGAATATCTTACATTTCTTGTCCTATGGTTGTGGCAAAAAAGATTACATTTTTATATTTTGTTGTTATTTGTTTAGTAAGTACCCATTTAATTTAAAAATGAAATGAAATTATTTTGAATCTCACGATGGAAACGGGTCTGTAGATGGGGGTGGGGGTATTAACGATACAGAGCACTTTGCAATATATGCCAATAGTGTTTTGAAATATATTGATGTCATTTTCTTAGGTAAAAAACAATGTGCAAATTTTAGTAGATACTTCAATTTTGATTGGCTAAACACTAAAATCAGTCTAATATTATCCAATCAAATTACTAAAATTTGGATTTTATCTTAGTTAAAATTTCGCGAAACAGGTCCCTGAAGTGATAGGAACTTTACAAGTGCATCACTTAAACATGTCAATATCAGAGCCATTCAGAATACTAAATTATGAAATAAACAATGTAGATCAAGCCATTGAATTGTTATTTCCAGTGTCAGATATAAATCAATTGTCTGCATGCTCTCATAATATTGCAGTTATATATTTTTTTTTAAAAATGAATGGTGGCTGGCAAAGGTGGTTCAAATATCTAGTGATATTGGAGATGTTAATGTGTCATTACTTCTTCCAAAATGTCTATCATCAACATTTTGTTTGGCCCTCCCCAGAAAATACTTTGCTGGGTCCCATTGAAATCTATTATAGGCTAACTGACTTACCCAATGCTTCCTGTATCGCGCTGCAGATTTGGCATTACACCTGATGTTGTTGACTACATAATACAATTGTTTTCATAAATTAATGGTCAACTTAATACCGACATTTAAGATGGGTAGCTAACTCGTATATGACTTTAAAGTGTAGAAGTTACTTTAAATTGTTGAATGAATTCAATAAAGATTAAATAATTTCTTATGTTTTTAGTTTGATTACTCAATGAATTTAGAATTAAATAAATTATTGTAAGAATTAATAAAGTATTGTAAGAATTGAATAAAATATTGTAAGAATTAAATAAATTATTGTAAAAATTAAATAAACTATTGTCAGAATTAATAAATTACTGTAAGAATTAAATAAATTATTGTAACAATTAAATTATTGTATAAATTAAATCAGTTGTTTAATAAATTGACAATTTATTTTTCCTAAGATTAAATATTGTTGTATGAGTTTGATTTGATGATGTAAAATGTTTACTTTTTGTTAATTTTTAAAAATATATAATTATTATAATTAGCTGAGTAGTTATTTTGTGTTGGTATTATGGCATAATTAGACATAGCTACATCTATGTAAACAAATACAATATCATGCCTAAAATAGGGAAGTTTTCCCCATGCTCTTGTAACTGCGGGGGTCACGCTGGCTCGCTAGTCTGCAGGTCGAGTGTTCGATCCCTGCATTGGGCCGAGAAAGTTCATCCAGATTTTCCGGCGTGGTTCCCCCTTTTCAGCGATGCAGGACGGAGGGTCTGACAAGGACAGTCTGTCTAGTCGTTCGGATGGGACGAAAAATATCCCTTGCCAATTGAAATTCGATAGAAGAGTAGACCGCAGTGCCCTGTCCGAGCAAACTTTCCCTCATAGCACACTGTATGACGTATGCCCGTCTTCAATAGCCCAATTCGGAGCAAAACAGTAGGACGTTAAACACCATTTCATTTCTTTTAACTGCTTTACAATGTCATAGCATGACTAAATATCTTTTAAATTAGATATTTTTCGATCAAACAGATGCTCCTAAACAAGCTAATTTCAAATAAAATGATGAATTGACTTAATGCCGTGCTTAAGAAAAAAATGACAAAATTCGCCGTCCATAACAATTGCAATTCCGTACGTAACAGATAACTTTGATATCAGATCACTCACAACAGATACATAATTTTATTTTTCAGCAAAAATAATATAAACGCTTTATTTCAGTAGTTTTGCAATATTATGCCAAATTTGTAATTTGATAAAAAAAAAACCCACAGACTTTATCCCGAATTGTAATGCTTTCAAAGAAGTGAAATCGTGTGATTCCGTCCTTACGAACAAGAACGGGAATAGCTCTCAAAAGAAAACCATCAGTTCACATTTCCATTTCTTACGAATAATATAATCGTGATCAAGTATGACATACCTGGGCTTAATTTTCAATTTTTAAATTTGGTCCAATTAGAAGATAGCACATTAACAATTTAGAATTTAGACTCTAATATACCGCCATAAAACAGAAGCAACTTTCTGGCATATTGATCAAAAACGCGATTTACGGGAACGACAGTCAGCTACCAGTACACAATTTCTGAGAAAAACATCAAATAATAATTTATAAGGGCTTAACGGACGCAGTTGTTTTTGTGCGCAATACGTGCCGGATTCTATTTGAACCCTTTCTCTAAAGCTCGGTTCATAATACATCCGTATCCATAAACGTATCCGCATCCATATCCACGTTTTGCCGTTCAAATAGAAAACGCGAAAACGTCCGGCTTTCAAGGCTGAATTGTCTGTCAGAGATAACATATTGTCATTTGCAATCATGGAGTCTGACAGTGACACAGAGGAAGTCTTTCTTTTGTATTTGTGGACCCAAAGACGAAAGAGAAAAAAGAGAGTAGGGGTCCATGAACTGTTACAAAGAAGAAAGAAATATGGAGAATACCACAACCTGGTGCAAGAATTGTATTTTCATCCGGACAAATTCAGACAATATTTCCTCTGTCTTGTCCATGTTGTGTTCTTCACAAGACAACACAAATCCACAGCACACAAGGCCAGGCTTTCTTGGAATGGATTGAGTTTCTATTTGGGAAGATGAAAGTACTCGCTGATTGGCTAAAGCTCGGCTCACTAGCCGAAATGCCGGACGCACTTTACAAAAATACGCTCTGGGAGCAATCAATCCGGCTTAACGGACGCAGTTGTTTTTGTGCGCAATACGTGCCGGATTCTATTTGAACCCTTTCTCTAAAAGTAACTAAAGTATACCAGTACGTATTCACGCACGTATTTACAGATACGGATACGGATGTAGTATGAACGGACCTTAAAAATGACTAAAGTATACCAGTACGTATTCACGCACGTATTTACAGATACGGATACGGATGTAGTATGAACGGACCTTTAAAAAGTCAATGTCGCCTTTTCTCTCTATAGCTTAACTAGGAAAAATGAACACTATAGTATTTACACTTGTAAAGCGTAACAGGTCCCAATTATTTGTATATATTAAATCACATTATTTCTAGTAGACCGCTTTCTCGTTCTACGATATAACTATTATAGCGAGAACCGTCAACTCTTTATCAAATCTTTCTCGCTCTACGATATAACTATTATAGCGAGAACCGTCAACTCTTTATCCAACCTTTCTCGTTCTACGATATAACTATTATAGCGAGAACCGTCAACTCTCGTTCTACGATATAACTATTATAGCGAGAACCGTCAACTCTTTATCAAATCTCCCATAATGACCCTTTAATTGATATTTCTTCACTTTTCATTCCCTCATTTCTAAAATAAAATAATTAACAAATTAATAAAAATATCGATACATATAATTCTGCCGGCTATTGATTTCTGTTTACGGTTATTGTTAAAAAAATACATTCATTTCTCTTCTCTCTTTATAATTAGTTCCTCAAATTTCGGAAACAATTTGACAAATTACTGTATAAGAATACATATTGTTGACATTGCACTAATTTAAAAGATGAATATTAAAAGAGAAAGCGAAGGTAGTGTTGAAGTAGAAACATGGCCGACAAGCTCCCATGTCGATACGCTGTCACGTGACCAGTGCGTACTCTAGTATCTATAATTTTATGCGTATATCAAACCTGATTAAACTGTGTGTTGGTTTGTTTATATTGGGTGCAGAGAATCACTCCGTTATTACATATATTTTATGTAAGAAGTGTGACGTGTGCTGCGATACAGGTAGGCTATAGATACTATTAATACTAAGGTGTTAAACTGTATACTGTGCTTAGTAACTTTTAAGTTACTATAGTATTTACTTGATCTACAAAAGCTCAGCCGTTCTTATATAGGTCATCGAGTATAAAATTTAGTTATAGACACTGGATCTACTCGTCTATAGACTGGATATACTAGTCTAATATAAAATAATAAACCCTGGATATCCTAGTCTATAGAAATATGCACTGTATACTATAATTATGGGCACTGAATTTTACCAAAAACAACTTAAATAAATTAGTATAAAAGTAAACTCTTGTTTATTAAAAACAAATAAGTTTTATTCCACTTTGTTTTTAAAAAAATTTCTGTCTCTAGAAATTACGCCTAACCATTATAATATGTTAAGAGTATTAAATGGTAAAATAATAACGGACGCCTCTGTTGACAAATGTTGTAATTTCCTGGCTTAGTTTACCTACCTTCTCGGTTAAATAAAAACAAAACCACTTGATCTGCCTCGATTAAATTTTTTCCAGCAAAACAAAAACAAAACAAAAACAAGAAGATTTGGTTACTAAAATCAATGAGTATTTTTTAAAAACATCTTTCCAGTAACTACCTTTTGGCAACTTTATATGTTCAGGGTATAAGTTTCATTGTTCTCGGCAAATGTACATTTGAGCGATCTTTCTTAGATGAACGAAATTAACAGCCTAGTGGGAGAATTCATTATTTAATCAAGAATCAAGAATTTACAGGATTAACATGTGATAATATAAATTCTTAAACTGGCTTTCCTTAATGACCCAGATAATTACTACAGTAACAAATCACACTATGTTTAAAGTACCCTACAACAACAATTACACTGTTACTATTCCATCATGTACATTTATATGGGGAGTCTGGTTTTGTTACAGTAATGACAATTAATGGTTACTTCAAGGAACTTCATTCTTTTTGTCTTATCAAATATTTGAATTTGAACACATATCATCTGTTCATTTAATCAAGAATTATGGGCACTAAATTTTACCAAAAACAATAAATGTGATATTCTGGAACGTTGACTTGTATTTAAATCATTGACTACATCACCCCAAAAATTATTCATTTCAGGGGGGTAGCTTAAGAATGAATTAAGTGCACTGATATGCCATTAGGATGTATTAATCGTTTACAGAAATTATCATTTGTCATTGATTTCAGAAAAATTGCTACGAAAGCAACAAGTTCACATTGGCCGTACAGTTTATTTTCCTATCGGCATTACGCCGCTTTATCAAAATTTCAATTATCCCGACAAAGAGATATAGGACACGAAAGACAGTCGTACGGAACGAACTAGTAAGTAATCACTGAAGCTTGGTAACTGCAAATATATGCCCGCTTTTCGCGTTTTTATACATAAAGGATTTTAAGCTTAATATACTTTATGACTCAGTTGTACACAAATTGCACATTATTTTATTGAGTAATAATAATAATAATGTATATTTGTAATGCGCTGAATAATCCATCCATATACGCATGCTCAAAGCGCAACATTTAAAGAGTCTCTCGCCATTAAAAACACACATAAACAATCTGTTTCTAATCTGGATAATAGAGTTTAAACAAATGAGTTTTTAGTTGTGACTTAAAGATTGTGAAAGTCTGAGATTCTTTAATGTTTACTGGCAACTGATTCCAAAGGCGAGGTGCAGCAGCACTGAAACTTTTATCACCAAATTGTTTTAGTTTTGTTTTGGGAACAGCAAGTATATTTTTGCCATGCGACCTTAGCGCACGTTTGGGTTTATAGTTTGTCAAAAGTTCAGACAAATATAAGGGAGCAAGATTATTTTGACATTGATACACTAATGACAGAACTTTATACTGAATCCGGGATTCGACAGGCAACCAGTGAAGAGACTTTAACACTGAAGTTATGGATGAATATTTTGAAGTTCTTGTTACAATCCTGGCAGCGATGTTCTGGATTCTCTGTAATTTATTTGTAAGACGTTGGTTGAGTCCGAAGAGCAGACTGTTTGCATAATCAATACGGGACAGTATTAGCGTCTGAACTAGTGTTTTAGCAGCATCAGTCGTGATCAGGTGGCGAACGTTTCTGATGCAATGTATATGATAGAAACATATACGGCACAATTCATCAACGTGAGTTTCCATAGAAAGTGTTGACTCTAGGAAACACCAAGGGTTTTCAGGCTGACAGAGAAGTCGATCATTGAATCCCCTATTGTTGTATTCTTTACTGGTATTTTCCGTAGTTTTTTAGAGGTTCCAACTAACATAGCTTCAGTTTTTTCATCATTTAATTTTAGGCAGTTGTTTGTCATCCAGGACTTAATGGACTGCGAACATGCTGCTGTGCGATTTAAGGATTCTTTTATTTGAGTGTGGTTGAAAACGTCAACTAGCTGTGTATCATCGGCGTAGGAATAATGTTGGATACAATGTTGGTCAGTAATTATACCAAGGGGTGTAGTGTATAGTACAAATAATACAGGACCAAGCACTGATCCCTGCGGCACCCCACAGGACAAAGTGACATCATCTGATTTTTCTTTGTTGACCAGAACGAATATATATGAAAATAAAATTTAAAAACATGTTCACAACATGATACGGACACCCTTTATGTTTTATATATAATTGATCAGCCGAGCGAAGTGAAGTGAAAGTAATTTTTGAAAATAGTAATTACATTTTAATCTTTCCCAGCAGTGTCGGATTTACCTATGGGCTTAGCAGACTGAAACCTAGGGCTATCAACCTCCTTGACTTTGCTCACACACCTTTATTTTCCTCTAGTCGCGATCTGAATCGGGTACTGCTTCCAAGCTTATCTTATAATCTCACTTACAATTATGAAAAAGTGTAATATTATGAAAACCCTAAAAGCGAAAAAGTAAATAAAGAATAGCGATATTGCAAGTTTTTACAGATGTTACAAAATAATGATTATTTCGAATGTTAATCGAGAGACGTTCCTATTGTAGACTAGTTGGAAGTTGGAATTCGACAGAGTAGGCAACAACATTGCTGTCCGAGCAAAATCTCCCCCATGGCACACTACACGGCGTATGCCCGTCTTCATTATCCCAGTTGCAGAAAAGCAGTTCGTTTAACCCATTTCATTTCATTTATTTTCATTCTAGCTGGTGATTAAAAGTAAAATGTCCTGATGTCACCAAATTCTACAAACCTCTTTATACGTTATATCGTAATATATAAACATAATCCAATATCTTGTAAAACTCTTGTAATAAAAAACGCCACAGACCAAAAATACTCCCATCAAAATTATTCCAAATCGGAAATCGTGTGGAATGTGGCACCACACAGGGGGATAAGGATAAGAGGGTCGGAGGAGAACTGTTGGAAAAAAATTGAATTTTTTTCTATGTCCAACAATATCTTGTGGAACACTTGTGGTGAAAAACACCACAGAATACAATCTTGTAGAATACACGCCCCCCCCTACCCACCATCTTAAAAGATGATAACAAAATAAATAGAAAATGATTTATAAATTTTACATGGTCCATCTTTTCCAAATGGCCCTAATAGTGATAGTCATATTATAAAGAGATCTCCCCTACAAAATTTGCCCAGTTTGACTTTTGCTTTTATTTTGAAAGTTATTCGTTTGTCATTATCAATTATTTGATGGGCAGTATAGTCTGCAAATTTCAGCGATGTTATAGTTCAGCATTTTTATGATTTTTTTACAGTTCTATATATTGAAATTTCAAGCTAATAAAATAGTGTTAAATGAATGAATGTCATTATGTTGTTTCAATTTGTAAATAATTTTGATTCAGGACAACATGTCCTTCCTATAAAGTCAATCCAGTAATATTTCACAATTAACATAAATTTGATATCCCCTTTGTTTGACAATCTGATGGTAGCGCCAGATGCGACGTAGTTTGTGGACATATATTTCATGACAGAATATTTCCAGCTTTCGTTTAAAAAAAATATACCTTTATATGTCAACCTGTAACAATTGTGTCTTTACTATAACATGATAGTCCTTACTGTAACATGAGAGTATCATGATAGTCTTTACTGTAACATGATAGTATCATGATAGTCCTTACTGTAACATAATAGTCTTTACTGTAACATGATAGTATCATGATAGTCTTTACTGTAACATGATAGTCCTTACTGTAACACTGCTAGTAAACAGTCAGTCAGTATAAGTTTCTACTTATCTTCACGGGTTGGTTCATTGATGTCTCTCTCTACAGAGCATGACGAAATTATTCTCTGGGTACACATACACACATAAATTAGAAAACGCGTCTTGGGTCCTGATGATCTCAGGACATGTCTATTGGACAATAACACCCCTCTAAATGCGAAACAGGAGGTGTTTATGATCGTCGTCGTGGCCATTTACTATTTTTTACCAGACCAATTTACCAAGGATGTGGTGGGTGGGGGGACTGTTCGTTGTTCTCGAGCATAAGATCGTAGTTGGGATTGTATGTAGGTTCCTGGAGTTTAATACTATCTTTCTATGGTTCATGCTTGCTTATTGTGAGTGGTGAGACCCCACCTTCTAACGCATACCCATGCCCCCCCCACACACACACACCCATACCCCTTATTCCCAGCGCCTAATAATAGACCATTATTATTTGTGTTTATAGATGATTTTGTGGGTTACAGTCCTGATAGGATACTTCACCTTAAAATGGTTCTTGGGGAGGTTAAAGGTCAAGAATTATGGCGAAAAGTACGTCTTAATAACCGGATGTGATACAGGATTTGGAAATCTTTTGGCAAAAAGATTAGATGGTTTAGGATTTCATGTTATTGCTGCCTGTCTGAAACAAGATGCTGCAGCTGAATTGAAGAACACGTCATCCGAACGTCTTCAGACACTTCAATTGGATGTTTCGTCTGAAGATGATATCAAGTCTGCACTCACCAAGGTACAATCAATTTTACCTTCAAATAAAGGTGAGTTTGAAGAGGACACGTATGGGCTATATGAATTGTTCTAGGGGTCACGGGCTAATAAGATCACTCGCTAATGCACACACACACACATATATATATATAGAGAGAGAAGGCTCTGGCTAGCTGGCACTCCTTGTAGAAGTTCTACAATGTCACAGTGTGTTTGGGTATAATATGAAATTGATTGAAAACATTTCTTTTCAACTCATACTATAACTGAAAATTGTAACATTGATACCTTCATACCACCTCCATGTGCCTTGAGCATTTTTATGGATAAGCTGCTCTATACAAAAACTCATTATTATTATTATTTCTAAGAGTCACGTGCTAATATATAGGAATTGTTATAGGGGTCACATGCTAGTACTATATTATTTTTGTGGGCCTAATCTAATGCATATGAATTATCCTAGAGGTCACATGCTAAAATATATAGGAAATATTGTAAGGGTCACATGCTAATATATAGGAATTGTTCTAGGAACCACGTTCTAGTAGATGTAGGAAATGTTCTAAGGGTCGCATGCTAATACATAGGGGTAACATGCTAATATATATATATATATATATATATATATGGGAATTTTTCTAGGGGTAACATATATACTCAGCCAAATTAAAAACTTGACACTCGGGATTTTTGGGACTAGATTTTTTAATATATGGTTTAAGGCAACTATTTTAATGTTATGTTGTGCACAGACGACCCTGACATCAACAGAAAGCAGGAATACGTCTCGCCGAAAGTCCTTGACATTGATAACGTTCGTGATGTCACAGTACCCCCAAAATGAAATTCAGACTTGGAGAACAATCGGAATAAAGTGTTTAGTAACGGTTGTGGCCTCCTCTAGCGTCTTGTACTGCCACACAACGTCTTCTCATGGATCTCAGAACATTAGTAAACACTACCCGAGGAAGACGTCGCCACTGCTCAGCAAGAGCATGTTGAAGGTCCTGCAACGTCAGTGGTGGATTCACTTGCTGACGAACACGTCGACCCAGTTCATCCCAGATGTGTTCAATAGGATTAAGGTCGGGGCTAAGCGACGGCCAATCCAGGACTTGGACACCGGCATTTCTTAAAAAATTCTGGGTAGCAATTGTCTTGTTGAAACGTTAGTCCAGGCCCATGTCTCTGCATAAACGGAAGAAGAACAGGTTGCAAAATCTGATCCCTGTACTGGACAGCATTTAAGTTCCCTTGGTCAACAACAAGAGGAGAACGTCCATGTGCACAAAAAGAACCCCAAACCATGACGCTGCCGCCACCAAATCGGTCAACTTCTCTGACGCATACTTGAGCGTAACGTTCACCTCGTCTGCGGTACACTCGGGCCCTGCCATCGGCAAATCTCAATGTGAATCGAGATTCGTCACTAAAGACAACCGAATTCCACTGTCTTTGAGTAAATCTCATGTGTCTTGTGGCCCAAACAAGTCGGTTACGGAGATGAATAGGTGTCCGTTATAGGGCCTCCGAGCTCGAAGACCAGCAGCCTGCGAGCGATTTACGGAGATGAATAGGTGTCCGTTATAGGGCCTCCGAGCTCGAAGACCAGCAGCCTGCGAGCGATTTCGAACAGTTTGTGCAGTTACCCTTCCACCAAACATCTCTCTACTTGAGGAGGTTGCAGTGACAAATCTGTTTCTAAGATGACGTAATCGTATTGCTTGATCTTCCTGGAGTGACGGTCGGCAATAGTTCCAGGTTGAAGATTAATTATTGTCTGGCGTGAACAATTAAAGGCTCTTGCAACAGTGACCACAGACTGACCAGCATAGAGCCTACCTATAGCACGTAGACGGTCTACATTTGAAAGGCGCGGCATTTACTAACAAAAATGAAAATAACAATTTTAATTTGTTTTTCCAGTTCAAGTTACGTGTGCGTGTTCAGTTTAAGCAAACTTGCATCGATTGACCTCACGAGTTTGTGTTTGCAAGTGTTTTTCAGGTTTTTCATCTTTATATGCTCAAAAGTCACGTGATTCACGGGACTTTACAATTTTATTTAATTAAAGGCGTCTTACTTCTTACTATCGTTAGAAACACTTAAAAATTTATTTGACTTACCAGAAAAAAAAATTGTTGAAATTCATCAGTGTCAAGTTTTTAATTTGGCTGAGTATATATGGGTAACAAGCTAATATATTTATATATATAGGAACTGAACCGATATAATGTTTTATATGTATGTAATTATAGGTCTATGGGCTGTTGTAAATAATGCCGGTGTAGGTGGTGCTATCGGACCTATCGAATGTTTAAACAGAAAAGACTACATGGATACACTGGCTGTTAATTTATTTGGCGTAATAGACGTCACTAAAATGTTTTTACCACTGATAAGAAAGGAAAAGGGAAGGGTAGTTAACATCGCCAGCATGCTTGGACGCATTGCTTTGGTACCGGCACCGTACTGTGTTTCAAAATATGGAGTAGAAGCTTTCTCAGATAGTCTACGGTACGTTATAATTTTTCAACGAATCATAATTCTACGAGGAACTGAGAGTCATGTTACAAACCAGGTCATTTCGGGACTAACATATGCTATATCAATGCAACAATTATTCTTAATATATATTGGGTTTGTAGTGGTTCAATTTTATTTCATTAATTCGCTTACCCGTAGTGGTCTTTAGCAGTGGGAGAAACCGAAAGACTCGGAGAAAACCCACGAGGTTGGGCAGGCGATCCTACTCCTTGTCACGTACATGCAGGAAATCGATCTACGCCACTTGACAGACCTTATGATGCAACGCGCACGCGTTAACCATTCGGCGACCCGACACCCCTCAGTGGGGTCTAAGCCTAATATTATCATCTCATATAATATTGAAGGCGGGTTAACGACCTTGATTACCGCCTGATTCTTCACCAAAATTGGACGGAAAATGAAAATTCGAATACTATATAGACAATAGACAAAAAAAGTAAACAACAAATGTAAAATTAAACCAGCGAAAAATAGTTTTGCAATCTGATTAAAATACAGATCTATATTTCGTTTCGTTTTTATATACTTTTGATGGCCTCTACTACATGACGATCTGACCGATTGTGATCGTGGGTGGGGAGGGGCGACCAGGGGTCATACTTACAATCTTTGACGTTATGATTTCAGTTATTCGATTAACCAATCAGCTTCGGTGTTAAAAACGACTTTTCGGAAAAACACCTTTTGTCTTGTTTTGTTTTCTATCGTTGCGAATGTCTACACACGGTTTCGCGCAGCGCATGGTAGGATCTCGACGCAACAGATCATGTGTGATTGCCTAATCCCTCGCATCACCCAGAACGCGATGTATTTAACAATTCTTCCAGATCCAGGTATAATGATAACAAATAAAAGGAAATTGTGAACTATAAAAAGCGAAACGAAACAGAATCTGTGTTTTAATCAGATTGGTAGTTTTTATGTTTATTTTGGGTTTAACCGAGTGTCGAATTTACACCGTGGCCTGTGGCATAACGAAACTAGGGAGCCTCTCACCAACGTCTACACCATGTTCTACCTTGTTTTAAGCCATTCCTAGACGCACTGTAGTCTTAAACATTCGTCGGCATCCTCGACTTTAATTAACATTTTTTAAAACAGACCTTTACCCCCTCTAGGTGTGTGGGGGGCTTGTAACTGGAATCCGACACTAGTTTTAACCCCCCCCCCCTCTGTTTCATTGACACCTTTACCCTGACGGGTTTTTTTTGTAAATATTGTTTCAGACGAGAGGTGTATCACCAAGGAATAAAGGTCAGTATCTTGGAACCGGGATATTTTAACACAGAGATAATCAACACCCAGCAGGTTTATAAAAGATTCCAAGAAGCATTTAATCAAGGAGATTCTGATTTCCAGCAATATTACGGACAGGAGTTTATTGATCAAGGTATGTTTTTATATAAATCGTGGGTTTATCTGGGTCCTCCAGTTTTTCCCCACTTCTAAGGACCTGTGCGTGCAATTAAATTGTTGAAATAAAAAATGGTTATTCAGCTAATGTTCACGATACCATGGACCGTGTATAGATGGACAGGCAACGTCTACGAAGCCTATAGAATTCTGTTCCGCGGCAAAAAATAGACCGGACAATCGTGACTAAAATAAAATTACCTCCCCTCGCGCAATTACCAGTATTAAGTTTAAAAGCAAAGAAACAGAAATCAATTCATAATATTTTTTTTATTAATCTTCCTATTATACCTGAACATTGTTTTCATAATTTTAAAATCCTTCATACATGCGGGAATTTGGAGTATGAAGCAAAACCAAAATGCTTACAAAAACTATACGAAAATATTGAAATCGATTATTTCACAATTAATTTCAACTGCTGCATTTGGAATTTTCAAAGTTCTAAACTGGAGAAATTCGTAACCACCGGATAGGAATACTTATCGGGTTGAAAAATTACTATGTAAATATAAGAATACCGTAAATTCTAAGGAGGAGTTCGAGAAATTAATCTGTATAAAATCCCGCAATGTCAAAAATCACATCGCTTAATTTGCCGTTGACATTGAGATCTCGTCGTGTTTCGCACGAGCGGCAGAGAAACCAACCAACGGGACACGTTGCCTGTCCATCTATATACGGTCCATGACGATACCGTGGGGACAATAGGGCTATCGGCTTAGTCTAAACGTTTAAAACCTTCAGTATGTCCAGCTGGTTTATTTGATATTTACATTTATAGTATTTTGTATAACGACAGTCTGCTCGATCACTGTATTCCGGGGGTTAGGGAGCTTCAACCGTCTGTTGGTCTTTAGACCTTGCCCGTTGACCTTGACAAAACGCCTAAAACACATGTTATATAGAGCGGAATAATGAAATGTAGTGCTCCGACTAGGCTAATGAAGACGAGCATCCGCCATACTGTGTACCATGGTGGCCACTTTTCCCGGAGCGGAATGCTATGACCTAATCTTGGCCGTTGATCTTCGCAAAACGTCTTAAACCATTACTCTGTCAGACTGGGTTTTTTTTTTAAACACATTTTGCACAGAGCGGAATAGTTCAATGGAATGCCCCGATAAGACCTAGGAAGACGCCATACAGTGTGCTATGATGGCAATTTTGCCCGGAACGGCGCGCTACGGCCTAATCGTGACCGTTGACTTTGACAAAACGTCTAAAAGCTTTACTGTGTCTATCTGTTTCTTTTGATACCCATGTTGTATAGTATGGAATAGTGAAATCGAATGCTCCGACTGAACTAATAATGAAGTCGGACATACGCCATACCCCATGTTCCTGAAGCAACGACTGCGAGTTTCATAACATCTGGCCGTTGCTTGTTTACTTCACAGTTCCCGAACTTATAGCTATGTTATCTACAGACACATGAGCAATAGCGTCAAATCAGAGGTTGTGACATCGCGACCTCCACGGAAACCTTGACATTGAATGAACCTTCTTTGCAACTCGATTATCACAGGTAGACATTTTAGCTTAAAAGCGCGAGACTTATTATTCGCGACGATCGAGAAATCTGATAGGCTCACAAGTTGGGTTTTTACCCAATCGAAATTAGTGCCGCAATATGCAGGGTATGACGTGAAGGCCTTGATAAGATGTACGTAGTTAAAGCGAGATCAAGCCTTCTATTGAAGATGGCCATACCCATGAATACGGGTCATCCAGCTTAAACAGGTTTTGTTAGGTGACGAATTTAGAAATTAATTAAGAACTTTTATTCAATGTGCCTCCTGTTTGACACGTGGTTACATAATCTCTAATAATAACCCATGTATGTATTTTCAGCTAAGATGTTGATTAACAAACTGCCTGAAAAATCATCTAATAAATTATTCAAAGTAATCGATGCTTACGAACACGCTATTACTGCCAGATACCCAAAACCCAGGTACATCGTTGGAAACGATGCTAAATACTTCGTTAGGTTGTTATGGACTATCCCAGAATGGATGTCGGATTTTGTTATTTGTTTAAACTCGCCTCGGCCACAGGGATCACGATAGGCCACGTCAATGAACGTGTCCCAGAGCGAAGATGACCATCCGCTCTTGACAACAATAAGACTGAATATTTACGATTTTGTAAAACTTCTCCAAGGTCATTAAAATTGCACTTTCTACAGAAAGCTCTGATATTCATCTAACGAAATAATTTAACATATGTGTTATTATACTTTAATTAGAAAATATTAACTTTAAATTAGGGGGGGGGGGGGGTGGCCGAATGGTTAGCACGTGCGCGCTGTATCAGAAGGTCTTTCATAGAGTCAACTGGCGTGGTTTCGATTCCCCGGTTGAAGGAGACAAGGAGTAGAGTCGCCTGTGGGTTTTTTCTGGGTCCTCCGGTTTCCTCCCACTGCTAAAGACCCCTACGCGCAAGCGAATTATTACAATAAAATTGAACCACATCTTAGTCCCGAAGTGACCGAGTTTTTGTCAAGTGGACGTTAAACCCCATTTTTCTCTCTCTCTTTATTTATCTGAGATAGAAAATTGTGTTAATTTAACGAGGCGACGACGACATAATCTGATTGGTTGACGTCATATTTACATGTCATAATAATTGACGTCAATGATAGGTTAATTTAAATTAACTCGAGTTACTTTATTCATATCAGGTGTTATTCATACGCCTAAAGTGCCTAGCTTGTTTATTTTATATGTAAGGGATCCACGGTGGCTTGGGAATTAAATCTATTCCAGTGTTGGACGAGAAAGTTCCAGTCTGGTTTCCCCTTGTCGGTGTTGCAGGAAATGGTTCTGGCTAAAACAAAAAGGTGAAAATCCGAGGTATATCATTTACGGAACGTTATAGAACACCTGGCAGGTGGAAATCGAAATAAGGGTAGGCCGTGGCGCCGCTGTCATAGAAAATGCACGTCATAGCCGACAGCACGTCTTCATTAACCCAGCGGGTAAGGAAAAGGATACGTTAAACCCAACTTCATTTCTTATTTGGTTTAAGTAAGGTCAGAATGTGTTTATTGAAATTTCAATGTTTAACCTTGTACAGACTTTGCAGAAAAACATGGCCAGCTATACAGACTTTGCAGGAAAACACGGCCAGCTATTAATCGGCTGTGATGGACAGCATTCAGCCTAACAAAATTTGGGGAAAAGTTGGTGCCAAGTTTTAATATTAAAAACTATTGGGAAATCAATTGTGGTTCTAATCCCTTTCAATATCGATGGTTATCTCCCTTGTGATGTGTGTTACTCTGTAAACATTAAAAAGTGTTAACTGCGATTTCCATTCCGCCCTGCTTTTCCTACCCCACTCCCACCCACACCCCCTCCCCAATATGCTGTGGCTCTGTCTCTTATATTCTACTATTCTCTTTGTCAAGTTGCTTGGGAAACACTTGCCTGCGGTATCACCCGAGGTTATCTAGTAGTCGTTCTGTGATTATATTGTCAAGTCCTATCAGCAGGGCCCGCGTCAATGACCCCTGACCCTGGGACAAACAACTTGGCGATGGGTGTCGTTTATGTGTGGGTGTGCGTGTGTGTGTGTGTAGAGGGTCTCTCTCTCCCCCGGAGCTCGAAAATTTGTGAAAGATACATGGTCTCTAGCGTCATTTTGGCGTATATTTGGGGTAATTGGAGGCCACTTTGCTAAAACACATTGGTCCGCAATTGGCAAAAATATCGAAAAATATCGAAATTTTTAGTGGCTAACGAAACGAAAACGAAAGTAAAAGTCTCGCTTTCAGTTTTATTTTTAATGATCGGACACCAGTCAGACTACCTAGAGCGATCGATATCCGCGTACATGCTTACTGCCGGCCAGCTTACCATTATTTTAGCGTTCTGCAGGCCAGAACTAGGTCCCGATTACTTGCCAGGGCCCTGATATCCTTCCAGTGACGAAAGCCTCAAAGGAAACAAGGTCGGACAGGCTGGGGCCCTACGACGCGAAGATTATGGAAGGTGGCTTATAGTTTTTAATTCACCAAATTTTCCCAAAACGTAGACTAACAACCCTAAAAGGCCCGGACAGGAGGTTTGTAGTTTTTAATTCACTAATTTTTCCCAAAAAACAGGACTGACAGAATCCTATTCTAATACTACCTACGCCACCAGGTACCCACATTCAGAAGAGAGGGGGGGGGGGGGCACCGGTCGAACACAGCACGAATTCTAGCAAAGTTCGGGACTAAATGGTTCAATTTTATTTAATAATTCGCTTGCGCGTAAGAAACAGGAGGTCCCGGAGAAAATCCATGAGGTTGGACAGGCGACCCTACAACCGGCGAATCAAAACCACGCCAGCTGATTCAATGACAGACCATTTGATGCAACGCGCACTCGATCCCCTCCCACCCCACCCCACTTTGATTTGGGTAAAAAATAAAATGATGAATTGAGTAGATCTAATGCAGATACATATAATATTACCAATTACCATAGTTACCTCAATTATAACCTCAGTTATTAAAATCCATCTGTCTGTCTACTGGACACCTTATTAGGAGATAAGATCTTTAGTGTACTGAACACCTTATTAGGAGATAAGATAAGACGGTTATTCTATTTGACACTTTATTAAGATAATAATACCCTATCAGGAGCACCATACAAAACATTTACGAATATGAACCGCTGAAATTTTAAACACTAATAACTATATACAGTTATCTACTTTGCCCCTCTTGGTGGGATGATTATTAAACAAAACAAAAAGTCAGAAATACAGACAGGAAGTGTCCATAAAACTCTAAAAATATATTTAGCATCCAATCCAACAAGATATCTACGATTTGGAAAACGTGACATCACTGCGTGTGTCATGGCTGAAACCACTGGTTCGAGGTTAGGGTTTCCGTTGCATAGATAATTAGTAAGACTGTCACTATCTGTAATATAAAATATAAAATTATAACCCCACCAGTCCGATTTTGTATACTGAAAGCATCTATCAAGTAATGTACTAAGAATGTCATCTAGTAATTGGGATAATAACCAAATAATATGTTATTTATGGCTAACAATATTACTATGGTGTAATTACACTGCGAGATTCAGATGACATGTACATGGCCGTTAACATTATATTCTACTATTAGTGTTTAACGCCCGATTGAACCTCCGGTGCTTACGGCACCCTGGGGCATTTGGCTACGACACCCGGGGGCATTTGAGCTTACAGCACCCTGAGGTATTTGAACTCGGGGCACTTTGAGGTATGCGGCACTTCAGGCGATTTACGTGTAATTTGAATGATTGAAAGTGGTCATCGGTTGTACTTGTTCGTGTGAATGTGGGTTTAAATAGTGTGGGGTCCGCAAATTGTTTTATCTGTACCGCGCATGGCACACGTGTCGCCCCGCCCCCGTATTTTTTTCGTTGCCCCCCCCCCCCGCCCATAGACCATCACATGTCCTAAAATCCCTCCACCCACATTGTAGTTAATTATATTTGCTCACTTAGTTAATTATTTATAATTTAGTTAATTATTTATAATTTAGTTAATTATTTACTCATTTAGTTAATTATTTGCTCATTTAGTTAATTATTTATAATTTAGTTAATTATTTGCTCATTTAGTTAATTATTTATAATTTAGTTAATTATTTATAATTTAGTTAATTATTTATAATTTAGTTAATTATTTAACCATTTAGTTAATTATTTACTCATTTAGTTAATTATTTATAATTTAGTTAATTATTTATAATTTAGTTAATTATTTATAATTTAGTTAATTATTTTTTAATTTAGTTAATTATTTTTAATTTAGTTAATTATTTTTAATTTAGTTAATTATATACCCATTTAGTGAATTATTTACTCATTTAGTTAATTATATTTATAATTTAGTTAATTATTTATAATTAAGTTAATTATTCATAATTTAGTTAATTACTTATAATTTAGTTAATTATTTATAATTTAGTTAATTATTTACTCATTTAGTTAATTATTTATAATTTAGTTAATTATTTATAATTTAGTTAATTATTTATAATATAGTTAATTATTTATAATTTAGTTAATTATTTATAATTTAGTTAATTATCTATTTATTTTTTTTTTTCATTAATTTTTTTCTATTTTTCTTTTTGTTTTTTTTTGGGGGGGGGGGGGGGTATTATTATTATTTTTCATTAATCAATTTTATTTTCATTAATTATTATTTTTTTGTTTTATTTTTCATTAATTAAAGATACATTATGTAGGATTTAGAAAAAGAGCTAACCATTGCCATAATAGTTCAAAAATAGATAATATAAAATGAATAATTTGAAATTTTCATTCAAATTACTCTATTGCGAGCGTATATATTAGCCTTTGAAGTTTTGACAAGACGTGTGCAATAATTTCAACCACCGTACTGGTTGTTCGAAGCTAAGTCTCGCTCCTCCATTTTAGCTTAAATCAAAATATGGCGGAACTGTTCTAATCTATTTAATATCGGAGAAATCCGATGCCATCGAGAGTTGATTATGGCCTGGATAATTTAATTAATGTCTAATTAATAATTTAGAAAACATTTCAGGCCTAAAGAAAGACCTGCAATAGGCAGATTTAGCTCTTGCATAATGTATATTTAATTTATTTTCATTAATTATTTTATTTTTATTTTTATTTTCCATTAATCAATTTTTTTTTTTCATTATAAACAAATACAAAGAACGTAATTCTGTTTGAACAAAAATGTACTAACTTGTATACCAACTAACGCTCACTACCACACATGGCACGAATCATATCGTTTAATATCACCAGTCACAAAATTTACATATTTGTTCTCATTTTGAAATATCTAACCAATCATAAACATGTACGCTACACGCATTATACGAATTATATGTTATCTTTACATGTATACATTTTCTCTGGTTTTTAAATATGTAATCGATCATACATTTTTCTCGTAAATATGAATATATTAACTCAGTCAATAAAATCTACAAATTAGTTCAAGTCTACGATTTGTATAATTAAACAAAAAGTGTTTGATGCTTTCCAGGACATACGTAATTGATGATAGCATGTTAATTTTATAACATGCTATCATGTATAGTCAAGATAAGGTATAAGAAGAAACAAAAAATTATGTATATTAATCTAGTCCCTGTCTTCGTTACTCAGTATGGACGTTAAACCTGGTTTCATTTGTCTTTTACGGTATAAAACCCTATTTCGGTCGTAAAAACTAAAAAAATCAAATTAAAAACAGACACCAAATCGGTAAATAATGTCACAAAATTTAAATAAAACAAAATCAATTTTAAAAGAAAAACAAATAAAAAAAAATTATTGAAAAAAAATAATGAAAAAATTAATAAATGAAAAAAAAATAATTAATGAAAAAAAATGAATTAATGAAAAAAAAATTGATTAATGAAAAAAAATTAATTAATGAAAAAAAAATGATTAATGAAAAAAAAAAGTTTAATTATAAATAATTAATGGAAAAAAGTTAATGAACAGAAAATTAATTAGATTATGCGCGGTACAGATAAACCAATTCGCGGACCCCCACACCATTCAAACCCACATTCACATGAACAAGTACAACCGATGACCGCTATCAACAAATTTAAATTACCTCAAAGTGCCCCATAACTCAAATTCCCAACCCCCCACCCCGAAGCTCAAATACATCAAAGTGGCCCGAGCTCAAATACCTCAAAGTACCCCAGGGTGTCGTAAGTTCAAGTACCTCAGGGTGCCGTAAGCTCAAGTACCTCAGGGTGCCGTAAACTCAAGTACCTCAGGGTGCCGTAAGCTCAAATACCACAAGGTGCCGTAAGCTCAAATACTTCAGGGTGCCGTAAGCTCAAATATCTCAGGGTGCCGTAACCACCCTAGGGTGCCGTAACCAAATACCTCGGGGTGCCGTAGCCAAATACCTCAGGGTGCTATAATCACCCTAGGGTGCCTTATATACTACTGATATCGCAGACAACTTGTTTTATTTTATTATGCTTAGCGCACACGCATTGGTCTTTCCTGTGTAAAAAAAAATTGGAGTACATCTAGTAAACCCACGAAGTTGAGAAGGTGCCCTTATCTCCAAGCCATATACGCTCACACCAAGGATGGTAACCACGATCGCAAGCCAGAGGTTATCAGCCAACTGGAGCTCGAAACGTGACAATCTTCATTACTGTACCCCTACGAGGTCCCGTGTACACATTGGCGTGCACGTAAAAGATCCCTTGGCAATTACAATTTAATATAAGAGTAGGCCGTAGCGCCACTGTATGGACATAATTTCCCTCATAGCACACTGCATGGCGTATACACGTCTTTATTAGCCCTGTCAGAGTAGAATGTTAAACCCCATTTCATTTTCGTGTTTTAAAGCATCTTGAGTCCATGGGGTAAACCCGACACTGCTAACAACAGAAAAATATGACATTTGAACTCACATTTTTTAATGTATTCTTCACCACAGTAGTCTCGTTTATCAGGACTGGTTCTATGATAAGCATGTTCTATTTCCTTGGTTAGTCTCTCCTTATTTGCGATATTACTTTTATATTTTCCTGGTTCTATTATATGGACAGATATTCCTTGACACCTTAACTCACGCCTGAAAGAGAAACTTTTTAGAATCAGAAGCATCTGAGTTTCTATGTGTGTGAGTGTTTGGGGGGGTCTTCGTGTCAAGGACCACAATTTCCCCCTTTTACCGAAATGCGTTAACACAGTAAGTACCATAAGTAAAAAGATTAACGAAATAATTACGTAAACTGTGTGAATTAGTAAAGAAAATGATCTCTTTCGGTGAGTTTGTTGTTGGTCTATGTGAGCAGAGACGTTTCGGCATACACGACAAGAAATCATTTCATCGATATCTATTTGCTTCCCAAATGCATAATGTAGTTGGATAAGATATCAAGACAACCTACACTATTGGAGGTACCTAAAGTGTCTCCATTCTCAGAAGACGAACCACGTATATGACGTCACTAATGGAAAAAAAGCAGATTGAAAGATTGGACTAAAATAGGGCCTCATAGTGGTGCGGGGGCGGGGAGGGAGGGGAATAAATCAAATCAAGGATTCAAATCTGACCTGCCCATTTATTCCAGTGTTAAACTGACTATTTTTCAAGTCAACAACACGTAATCTATGTCGGTAATATAAAATAACTATGGACGTTAAATCCCACCCTTGAGCAGTATGTACATTTTGTGATAAAGTGAGAACCTAAGTGAAACGAAAATAAAACGATACCATATATTAATAATATACGCACGACCCGTATACAGCCACCCCCTCATCCCTCCGCCTAAAAAGAACAAGAAACAACATACCTGAGACCATCTGAAAAACCTTCAACGGCGTACTTGGACACCACATAAGCACTCCCGCCTAATGCAAAGCGTCCAGCAACACTAGAAACATTAATGACCCGTCCCTTTGTCCTTCCTTTCCTGAGTAGGGGCACACACTTAATACAGACATCAATTAGTCCCAATAAATTAACAGACAGTACTTTTTCAAAATCTTCTTTGGCTGTAAGGTCAAAGGGTAGAATGGAACCCGAAATTCCAGCATTGTTGACGATCGCCCATAAACCTGTAACAATAAATTTGGTGATAAACACTTTCTGTAATAGCTTCTATATTACATTAAACAAAGGCACGTCTACTTTATTGGTGTAGGCTCGCACATAGTAAATATACTTATACATATAATGAATTGATGGAACTAATGAATATAAATGAGGTATAAGAATAGGTTACTACTGATTGATATATTGATATATATATATATATATATATATATTACACTGCATAGTGTAAAAACTATAGGACATTACACTTCCTGTTTCGAATTTAGAGGCGTTTATTGTCCGTTTAAACATGCTTGAATCATTCGATCACGAGACGCGGTAGTAACGTGTTTATCGATATTGTAGCTCAAACATTTCGGGATTTTCTATGGAACTAGTTAAGAAACGTGTTTACACTTTTTAAAAAGTGCTCCCATTAAGTTTTCAAATAATATTCTCAATAGACTTAGAACCATCCTCGCTTTCTTGCAAATTTTAAAGTCTCAAGCTGCTGGTTAATGAATTATGAAAGAAAACGTTATTCATATATTGTCAATAAATTTTAAAAGAATAGAAAATTGTTCTTATTGGGTTGTTCTTTGGTTGGCGATGCCCTTCCTTAATGACATGATTGCGCCCTGCTAACCAAGACTAAAGGGTGGTAACTCTTGGCTTTTATTATTTTATTTGGCCACAGATCACTAAATATTTGCCCATTGACTTTAATGTTAATTCTCGTCTCTTAGACCGGCTCTAACTTTTTCCCAAATTTTCGTTGGGTAGAACGCTTTCTACCATAGATGGAGCAACATGTGGCAACCTCTTGCCCAAAAGCACGTATGAGGTTCACCATGGAAAACTTGAGATACACAAGCTGGAAGTAGAGACAAGAAAACATGCAATTTTGTCCCCTTCATTCTTCCGCCTCAAAATCATGAATATTCACCAAAACCTGGTAGAACATGTATTTTCAAACCCTTTTCTTCGATTCTACACCAAAAAGTCAACAAAAATCGCCATGCAAAAGGGGGAAAAAGGGAAAGGGAGAGAAAGACTAAAAATAACTTTTGCCCTACATTCGTGGGTGACGGCGTAGAAATATTTGGTGAGCTGTGTCCATTTACAGACAGTCAACTCAATTTGTAACATGGATGGGAAATCTTCCTTTGTTCTTTTCGGCCTCTGGTTAACCCTGTTAAATCATGAAAGCCGTGCTATAAAAATAACTTTGTTGCTAGTTCTTGTTCAGGCAAGAATAGTTCGTGCTTACATTCCCCCAAAAATAACCAATAAAACGATTTGATGCCTAGAATTCTAGCGGTTGTTATATTTATCGTTCTGACGTGTTTTCAATCAAGGCCAATTGGAGCATAATTCCCGCTTATTAGGCCTATTCAGGATGCTGTTTTCCCCTCCCTTATTACATGTTCAATGCTTGTGATTATTGATTTATTATTAGAAAGATCACTGTGGTCAGAATTTGGCGAAACCGTGATTTAAAAATTTCAACTTTATTAAGTAATCACTGCTGAGTGAAGCTAGTCTGCCGACAAAGAAAACAAATTTGTATACACTGCCTGCTTATGAATAATTTAGAATATCTGAAAACAATTTTATTAAATTTATGACTAATTTTCTCCTGTTTTGTGTATTGCAAGGATGTGTTTAGATAGAAGATGAAATTTCAAAATGGGGAGATGGTCATTTGTGCAGAATTCCTTGAAGATATTTGTCAACAAAGATTTTAGTTGAGGAAGATCATTGAGTACAAAAATGTAGGCCTACACTGTAATATGTATACGCCAGACTGAAATATCTGGGGTTTATTTTTCATTCAATGAATACTTTTCGACCAGACAGAATCGAGACAATTTCTGATTAGCGCTACAATAATTCTGTATACAAAATTATTGAATCATTATAAAATAATAAATTATAGACGGTATGGATGGATAAATGTATGACGTTGCACCTCCATCAGATTGTCAATTCAATTTTTTTTAGTTTTTTTTTTGGGGGGGGGGGGGAATTTGAACAAGCTTATTTGCGGGGAACTGATGCACTCTTGTCATGGGTCTAATGAGCTTCGCGAGTCCCCTACCAACCCCTGTGGGTAAACTACTATTCAAATTACCTTTACTGGCCGGAATCATTTCATCAATTTCCTCCATTACTCGTTTAACGTCTTGTGTTGACGTAACATCCAATACAACAGTCGTCAGTCGTTCTGACGTCACCTTCTTCAATTCTGAGGCACCATCTTTAGTTAGGCAAGCGGCAATAACGTGAAAACCCAAACCATCTAATTTCTTGGCCAACGCATTTCCAAACCCCGTATCACACCCGGTTATGAAGACGTATTTGTCATCAATGTTCCCCACCTCTAATCTGTTCAGAAACCATTTGATAGTAAAGTAGCCAACAACAACTGTTATAATCCACAGGGGTAGCATGATGTTAATCTGTATCAATAAGGATAAGGATAGATAGCATAGCTATAAATTTTAAAAAAAAGCGTCATTAGACATTTAACTAAGTTTAAAAGGGTTTTTATCTAGTCTCTATCGTGAACATGTATGTTTTTTCCCCGCCAATCTAAGTAAATGTCAATAGGTTGTAACATTTTAAAACCAATACCAGTCCCAGTAGTAATGGACCCAATTTTAACACAAATAGCGGTAATTGGTATAGACAAACAGGTGCCCTCCCGCCTCGCTACGTGCCCATGTCTTATCAAGAATCTGGTCGGGTCCGAATGAGCCATGGTCCGAATCAACAGATTACCTCAAAGAGTAATATAGTAGACCAACAGGTGCCCCCCTTCCTAGCTACAATACTATTAACACCATATATACTTTTCAAAAAAAAAAACCAAAGTACGGCAATGTAATTGAGGCTACAGTATGACGCCACGGTGTAGCCTCCATTATCAAATATCATATCTATTGACTAATCTAATTCGGATATCTGAATGGGGTACAGCTTAGCTACTTATGCGTTATCGTATTTACCTTGAATTCCGCTGCTATATCTTTACAATGCACAGTTGGTCTATAAACTGATCGAATTTTATAAATTGAAGTGATTGTATACCTCCACACTCCACACAGCTGTCTACCATGATAATAAAATTAACTGTGCATGGTAATTAGTCAATCATAATATATGCAATAATAATTATTTTAATTTAAAATTCAAAGCAATAATAATTATTTTAATTTAAAATTCAAAGACCAGCCATTCAACTATATGTTAGCTCGGTCATAAAGTGACATGGCACAATGGTTGTCATCGGTGCATGTGTTGTTGGGAGATTGAACACATCAGTGTTGAATTTAGATGAAAAGAAATGAAATGAGGTTTAACGCTCTACTATTCTGCTGGATTTAGATGACGAGGGGCCCTAGTCCATTACACGGATGAACCCCACCCTCCACACACTGTCCATTATGTAAATAGAAAGAACAACTGAGGGGCGTTTGCCCCGAAGTTTTTCTTTGTATTTACATGATGGACAGCCTGAGGCTATTATCAAACTTAAAACATAGCACCATAGAGATACACATAATGGGTAGTTTTCTAAAACAACAAGCCATAAAATAACGGATATATTCTTAAAACAACATGCATCTGCACATGAATGCATGTGACAAAACACTCCAGTCATACTATGCAAGCATACACAGACAGTCCAAAATATTTTACATGGAGACATGTTTACAACACAGTCGAAAACAAATATTAATAATGAGATTATATTATGTGACAAGCATTTGGATACTGATTACATTGGTAATGCACTCGATATGGAAGATAATAGCCGTAATAATTGTGATGTTCTTGATATTGGGGATAATAGCCGTCAAAGTTGTGATGGAAAGGCTGCTCACGAGAATGATTTAGATATTGATAATATTCTTAATACTGTGGTTAATATGGAGGGTACTAGCCGTCCCAATGGTTAATATGGAGGGTACTAGCCGTCCCAATCTTAGTACTGTGGTTAATATGGAGGGTACTAGCCGTCCCAATTTTGATTTCAAATTTAATATATACTGTGATATAAGTGACAGGACACATGATCAAAGGCACAAACCAATTCACGAAATTTATAAATGATATATAGAGATAGAAATGAAATGAAGTTTGACGTTTTTCTGTTCGGCATCGACTGGGCTAATGAAGACGGGCATACGCCATTCAATGTGCTATGAAGGGAATTTTGGCCACACAGCCGCGCTACGGCCTACTCTTATTTCGAATTTAAACTGTCAAGGGTTCTTTTACGTGCACGCAAATGTGTACACTGGACCTTTGGTTTTCGTATCATCCGAACGACTTGACACTCTTCTTGTCAGCCCTCAGCCCTGCATCATTGAACCATGCGGAATAATACCGAGGAACTTTCTCGGGCAACACAGGGAGCAAAGCTCCTAGTTTGCGAGCTAGTGTCTTACTCACTAAGCCACTGCGGCTACCATGTGATAGATGGGAGTTTATTAGGTAGACGATACATAGAGACAGGGGATATTTGATTTTATAATTATTTTAATTTGTGTATGTTATCGAGTATGGAATAGGTGCTGATGCCTGAATCACTGACTTAAAATACATTTACATTGTTTTGTTTTTAAATAAGAAGATTATTGGAAAAGTACACATATAGCTGGATTACAATCTAAATATTTGTTACTAATTGAACACGGGATTAACTATTCCTCCATCAACAAAAATTATCTCCCCTGTTATGTATGAAGCTTACTCTGAAAGAAGAAATTTCACCAGTTTTGCAACATCTTCTGATTAGCTTAATCTTCTCAGCGGGGTGATTTGTCGGACCATGGCTTCCCTTTGCAGAGAAATATGTATATTATTTACAGTAGATTTACTGTACGTAAACTGAAACAGAATTCTGTGCAAGCGTTAACTTGGCCAACATAAGAACATACTCCTCGCAGTGCTTCGTTTGCTTAGAGCTAATCCCACTTAACACTGCTGTAATGGAAGCATTAAAGAGAGGGAGACGGGGTTTAACGTCCACTCGACACAAACTAGGTCATTTCGGGACTAACATATGTTGTTTTAAATTTTATTTCAATAATTCGCTTGCGCGTAGGGTTCTTTAGCAGTGGGAGGAAACCGGAGGACCCGGAGAAAACCCATAGGGTTGGATGGAATCAGACATTGATTAGTCAATCAGCGTTGACATTTCTAGTAGTTTACCCATAGTTCCGTTCATCGCACGCCAAGAAGTCGCCGTAACAGGTGGTTTCATTGGCTAATCACTCACGCCATCAAGACTGCAGGTTATATAACAACCCTTCCAGATCCTAGTGTAGTACAGACAAGTAAAACGAAATTTTGAAATATAAGAAAACGAAACGAAATAAGATCTGTGTTTTAATCAGATTGTCAGCAGGTGGAACGATCACCATGGCATCATGTTAGGATAGAATGCTCTTCAACTGTGAATTAATGTGTGTTACATGTAGTTCGTTCAGATCTAATATAGTTTGTAAAATTTAACCCCCCCCCCCCAACCCCACGGTACCTTGTGTTAGAAGGGGAGAACATATAGTGGAATGTGTGTGAGGGGGGGGGGCATAAAAAGATTTACCTATTTATTGACCTTGGTCTTGAATTAATGTTAGCCTGTACAATCAAGTAATAAATAACAAATAATATTAAATCAATTAAATTGTTTCAATCGCATTTAGTAATTGAACTTGAATATACAGGTCACAATTCTATGTAATACAATTACTGCTTATTACCGAGCGACGTTTCGACTAGGCTTCTTGATAATGACTAGAGAAGCCTAGTCGAAACGTCGCTCAGTAATAAGCAGTAATTGTATTCCATAGAATTGTGACCTGTATATACAGATCAATTGAATTCAGAATTGTGCATGTAAGATGGTGAACATACCTGTTATGATTATAACTTTTCCTTCCAATGAGGTCATCGGAATAACTTATGAAATCTAGACTGCTGATTCCGCATAAATATAATGTATATTATTTTGTCACGTGATTCGTATCATAAATTGTATTACCAAACCATGTATTGTTTGACGACGCCTTTTGCGGTCGTTACTCCTAATTTGTTCAGTCTTCTAAAAAGGGTTACGGTTAGAGTAAAGATTCCCGAAAATACTCATTTTTATAAAGCGGCCATTGTGCAAGGCCGGCGAAAGCAATTCTTGATTGTGTGGGGGTGGGGAATGGGGCGGGGGCTACGATCCTAAAACTTTAGGCGAGGGGCCAAGGTTGTGGACACTCGAGAGGTCACAATTTTTATACGATCTTGATTAAACTGACAATGTATCTTTATAACCGAAAGATCTCGACATTTAAGCTTGTTGACTCTTTAGACCTCACATTTTTTTATTTGATTGTCGAAACCGTTCAAAAATATCACCGTTACACCATAAATACGGCCGAGTTCAAATTTCGTGAAAATCGGACCGAAACTGCCCACTTGCCAGGTTGTGGGCCATCCAGAGGTTCGAATTTTCATCCAATTTTGATATATCCCAAAGGTTTTTGGTTCCTTTCGATAATGGCGCGTATTGGACCGTGACTTTCTGGATTATGACCACTGGTTGTACGAAATATCACGTTTTTAGCGTGTGGACCCTTTAGGGTTCACCTTTTCATCTTATTTTCAAACCCGTTTAAATATGTCACCGTTACATCATAATTATGGTTAAGTCCGAATTTCCTGAAAATCGGACCGAAAATTTCAGTCAAAAAATGACCATGACTCCCTTTTACGCAAAATAGTATAAAAGCATGTAAAGGTTGTGGACTATCTATAGGTCAGACTTTTTATCCGATTTAGATGAACTTAAAACGAGTATCAATAGCTCTTGGATGAATTCAATTTTGGTGCGCGTGTGAAATAGCTTCATTTAACGTCCGCTTCCACCGAACTGATATCGCAGACAAGTTGGTGCGCATTGCCCCCCCCCCCCCCTGTCTTTTACGCAAAATATGAAATATGAGTGAAGTTTGTGGACCTTCCTGAGGCTATAATTCTTGTCCGATTCATGAGATGAAACTTAAACTATGTGTTAAGGATCAAAAATTCTTGGACGAGTTCGACTTTCGTACGCATCAGACCTTACATTCTAGAGCTATAGCCCCTTCTTTTCACGTGAAATGTGTATGAATTTTTAGGCCCTCCAGAGGGGCCACAATGTTGTCCCATTCTGATGAAATAAGTTAAGGATAAAAAGATCTTGAATGAGAGGGATGAGCCCTATCGATTTTACCTCTTCCCAATACTGTACATTTCTCGGAAATTTTGGGCGTATTTTGCATGGCAACCGCTTGTTTTAACTGGTAATAACTGATAGCAGTGAATTATTTGATAGATAAGGGACACGGGGAAGGGGAGTGAGAAAAATTCAATCCCGTCGTTTTTTTTAACTACCCAATCTGTCTTAGATACAACGGAA